CAGCTAAGTTGGTAAAGCACTTGCCACACAAGCATGAGTTCAGGACCCCCAGCACCAAGAGAAGGAGGAGGAGAAGGAGGAGAAGGAGGAGGAGGAAGAAGAGGAGGAGGAGGAGGAGGAGGAAGAGAAAAAAAAAAAACAGACATGGTAGTACATGCCCATAATCCAAAATTGGGGAGACAAAAGCAGGAAGATTCCAGCAGGTTTGCCTACAGTCTTTCATGTGTGGACATTTTCTCCATGTGCTAAACACATTTTGCACATTTTGCAACTAACAGCAGTTGGTAGTCAACTTACCTGAGACAGTTTAATGCCAAGGTAAAGGCTGTGTTGCAAGCAGGTTAAACCCATTGCTCTTGGTAAAAGTGAGCTCAGCAAGGAGTCTCCTGTGCCCTGTCAAAGCCAGTACTTCATGTTCAGCACAAAGCCTGACTGGACCCTTAGGGCGACTGCTCCTGTGGGTTTTGCACCATCAGCTCTTCAGTTCTTTCCAGCTCAGGCTTTGGGGTGTGTCATGCCAAGTTCGTGAGACCCCAAAAAAAGACCACCAGGGAGCCGACTCACTGATGCAAATGCATAAGGTTTAATATCAAATTACAAGCCTCATTCCAGACCCTGTCCAGCAAACTGGCACAGCAGCTGCAAGAAAAGGGTGCCTGGCCTCAGTTGCAAGGTTTTATTTTTTTTTGGTTTTTTTTTTTGGTTTTTTTTTTTTTTTTTTTTTTTGATTTTTCGACACAGGGTTTCTCTGTGTAGCTTTGGAAACTATCCTGGCACTGGCTCTGGAGACCAGGCTGGCCTCGAACTCACAGAGATCCACCTGCCTCTGCCTCCCGAGTGCTGGGATTAAAGGCATGCGCCACCAACACCCAGCTTGCAAGGGGTTTTTAAAGGGAAAAACCACAAGCAGGGTGGTACATGCCTTGGCTGTTCAGAATTGGGTAAGAATAGGTGACCTATGGATTCATTGACTGTGATCTAGGGGAATTTCAAAATTGTCACTAACAGTTGCCCACAAGGACAGTTGTGACGAGAAGGTATTATTTACCAAAATTAGTCATTGCCTGACCACCCGGATGGGGTCACTTTGACTGGGGTAGGCACAGTTTGGGTGCTCCTTGGAACTGTCTATGGTTCTTTTGCTGGGGCTGAATCAGCCTTGTGCCATGAAGGGAATTTCTCAAGGAGGCTTTTTCTGAGGATGGAGTTAAAGCCATCCTCTCCAGTTTACCTTGCTCTTACAGGGAGAACAGGCTGTTGTAAACTTAGGCTCCCTCCCTAACCACTCATTTTGGAACTCAGTCCCACCTAGTCCTCAGGACACAAGGGCGGGAAGGTGAAGAGCCATTGCTGTAATGTGGAGCACGCTGAGAAAGTGCTCTGGGGCTGGGCAGGACGGCGCACGCCTTTGACCTCAGCACTCCGGAGGCAGAGGCAGGTGCAGCTCTGTGGAATCTGTGCCTTCGAGGTCAGCCTGGTCTACACAGGGTTCCAGGGCAGCCAGAGGTACATAGTAAGACCCTGTCTGAACAACAACAACAAAAAAGGAAAAAGAGAAAGAATGAAGGAAGTCTACTAGCTGGGCATAGTGGTGTATTATGCCTGTAATCCTCAGGAGCAGGAGGCAGGAGGATTGTCAGGAGTTTGAGGCTGCTTTGAGCTATGTAACAAGTACCAGGCTGTATAGCGGGATACTATCTCAACAAACAAACAAACAAACAGCAGGAAAGGTGGATTAGGAAGCAAGGAAGGCAGGAAAGAATGACCCCACCACTGATCCTGCCCCTCAGTCCCCGAGTTCCCCGACAACCTTTCATCAACCAGTAAGTTCTTTATCACAGAGCCCACCCATTTCTAGAACTCTCAAAGCACTGCAGATAGAACAGGGACCTTGGTGTGTGACTTCCGTCCTCTGTGCCTCTGTGGCTCACAGCTCCAAGCACTCCTTTCCAGGGGACTCCAGAAGGCTAGTGGTACCTTATGCTTAGACTAAGCATTAGGTAGTTGAGGGTTTCAAAGTGTGAAAATATATTAGACTCAGTCTCCCTGGCAGGTCCTATTGTTTTCTTGGTTTTATTTACCTTTGCCAGATCTCTGAGGCCAGCCTGGTCTACAAAGTGAGTTCTAGTACAGCCAGGGCTGCACAGAGAAACCCAATCTCAAAACAACACCACCATCAAAAACCCAAACAAACAAAATATGAGATTGGAGGGCTCCAAGATGAAAACAGCCCAGAGGGGTTGAGAGATGCAGCTATTCCTAGCAAACCAAGATGTGACATGACTCTAGATGATATAAAATCCACAGGTATAGGCAGGCGGATCTCTGTGAGTTCAATGCCAGCCTGGTCTACAGAGCCAGTTCCAGGACAGCCATGCTGAGAAACACTGTCTCAAAAAAACAAAAGAAGAAAAACCAAAAAAATAAGCCACATATACATAGCTCATAGCAAGGTACCTCCACTCTAGTTACACCCCCAAGTCCAGTCAGCTCTGGTATTTCAAGACACAGCTAGATTCCCATTAGTTCTAAGAGTTAAATCTGCACAGGCTCCAGGTTGCATATGAGATCAATCTTAGTCTGGACGTGACCATTTGGGGCATGTTAGGGTCCTCGTGGGGTTGGAGAATGAGAAGCTGTGATCACTGTGTGTGTCTTTGTGGGGAGGGGAGTGAGCTAGGTCTTGGAACACAGCCCAGTTTGATTGTGAACTCACACTCCTCTCCACCTTCTCTGTGGTGTGCCTCACTGCATCCAGGGCATTGGATTTTATAATCAAACTGTACAAACTGTACTCTCTGTTGCCAGAGGATAGGCTCAGAAATATCCATGTATTGTGTCTTTAGCCAATAGGCAGAGAACACATTGGGTTATGGCTTCTGCCCCAGGCTGGGGATTGAACCCAGGGCCTTTGCTTGATGCACAAAAGTCCTACCACTGCACTACAAACCTAGCTCCAGGACTGTAGCATCCAACAGGCAGCTGCAAGAAAATCAGCCACCAGTCAAGTCCCCGAAATTACCATACAGCAGCCTTAAACAATGCATCAGCAATTGTCTTCCAAGCGAACCATTTCTGACACTAAAACTTTGATTTTTTAAAAGGACTACATTTTTACATGTGTATGGGAGGGAGTCTGAGTACCACAATGCAAAGGTCAGAAGACTATTTTCAGGGGTTGTTTCTCTCCTTGTACCATCCCCAAGACCAAAACTGGGTCCTTAGATTTGAGCCAAAAAGTGCTTTTACTCACTCGGCCATCTTCCTGCTCTTTTTTTTTTTTTTTTTTCTTCTTCTTCTAAGACAGTCTTACTACTGACCCTGGCTGAGCTCTAACTTGCTGTCTAGATCATGTTGGCCTCCAGCTTGCAGCAACCCTGTCTCTGCCTCCGAATGCCAAGGCTACAAGGGTGTGCTGGCACACCCAGCTTGAAATTAGAATCTCATATGATTTTCATGTGTCATAAAATATCCTTCCCTGTATGTGATAAAGTCCAAGAGAAAGCTTAACTGGAGGGAGGAAGGGACTCAGCTGGAGACTGATGGGGCAAAGAGGCTGTGGGGGAGGGTAACTGTCTTAGGGTTCCTATTGCTGTGAGAGACACCATGACCACAGCAAGTCATATAAGGAAAACATATAATTGAGGGGCTCGCTTACAGTTTGGGGGGCACAGCAGCGTGCAGGGAGATGCAGGAGTAGGTGAGAGTCCTACACCTTACAGGTAACAGGAAGTTGACTGAGATACTAGGCCATATCCAAGCATAGGAAGCCTTAAAATCCATCCCCACAGTGACACACTTCCTCCAACAAGGCCACACCCATGCCAACAAAGCCTCGCCTCCTAATGCCACTCCCTATGAGATTATGGGGGCCAATTACATTCAAACTAACACAGTAACCAACCAGGACACCCTAGGACACATACATATGAAGACACATGATAAAGCCCATTACTTTGTATTTAAGTCTAAAAACATTAACTTAAAATTAAAAATAGTGAAATATTCCTCCCTTTAATTATTTTTCAATTACTAACCTAAAACATACTCTTGGGACATCTGAAAAATGGACAGTAGGTTGGATTTAAGCTGTAGTTTGAGGACTTGAAGGGGAAAAGCTGGGATTTGAAGCCACACAATAAGTTAGATGATCCCCTAAGCATTTCTAGAGTCTATAAGTGAAAATAAAAGCCATGAACTTCATAGGAAAATCAGAGAAATACAAAGGATACTTTAGCAATCATTCATAAAACCACCATCCAGATATGGTCTCTAGGAAGTTTTTCTCCTGTTCTTATGTCCACTGTCTCCCCATATTAAATTTTATAATTCTAGTTTTCATTAATGAGAAACTACATGATGATAAAGGAGGAGGAAGAGGAATAGAAAGAGGAGGGGGAGGAGGGGGGGGGGG